TAACTCACTCTTTCTTTTTCTCTGATAAGCAGCTTGGCCATTGCTGTAGCCAACAATAGTTGAGGCATTAAAGCAAGAAAGAGTGTTTGTATTGGAATCATTATTGACATCCCCATCTTCAACAAGGGGAACTGGCATTTTCGAAAACAACATGAAATTCTTCAATATAGGCAGGCAGCTGAGAATGTGGAGTTGTGAGTGAGGAAAACGACGGTGTAGCAGCAGACAACGGGTAACAGGTGCTTGTTCCAACAGTTTGTGTGCAACCTATTTTCGATTGGGCAGAACCTAAACTTTCGCCAACAAAAAACGTATTTTGTGTGGTATGGAAAATATTATTATGAAAAGCAACAGGATAATCACGGGAAGGGGACAACTCGCGAGGTCTAAATCGTTAAATGGATGATGTGCATTAGGTTATGGTTTCCAATGGAGCCTCATGATTGGGGGATCAGAATAAACAAGTGTGAATTGCGAAGTTTGGAAATCATATAAAGGCAAAACATCTGTTGATTTTGTTTGTCTAGCATGGCGCCCACGGGAAAGATGCATATAAGGAGAAGGTCGCGACATATAAAAGTCTATAGCAATAATGAATTGCATTTGAAAATAATTGTTAAGTACGTGTCTGAAGAGGCACATTGCCAATTTTGTCAGAAAAGACAAACTTTAATGAAAGGCAGGGCAAGGATTGTAAGGGAAAGAGCATAATAAAAACTTGGTCCAACCAATGCTTAGGCGCTGGTTGGCACGCAACAAAACATCATTCTTATCTGTTTATAACACAGAATGTGAATAGATGGAAGAGAGAAAATGCAAACAACAACCCTACATCTGAATCAAGGCGCTTTTTTCAGATGCATAATAAATAAGTTATGCTATTGTACCACAAATAATAAGCTTATATGGTTGTGAAGTTTATATGGTAAACTTGAAGAAAACAAATAACATGAAAACATGGGCAAATTATAGTAGAGTTTTTTACGACAAAGTCCTAGTTGAATAACACGTTTGAATAGGACATGTAATACATCAACATGAACCAATGATCGCAAACAAACGAATTTCGTGAAGGCATGGGCAAATAAAGGGAAAAAACCTGAATGAAGCAAGTAAGATGTAAGATAATATCTAAAGCGATGTACTAAAGCATTAAAGAGTCATCAATAAACAAAAAGGGCAGACATGAGTATAGTGATTGGAGCATGGCATAAGCATTTTAAATGGCAAACAAAAGAATGGTTAGTGTGAAAAAGGCAGAACTATGCAAAGGAAGACAAACCTGGAACACAATCTTGATGTGACGTTTATCGTAGTGTGTATATCAGAGCAAGGTAAACTAAGAAATGGAACTTCGTGGAGTCTGCAAGAAGCAAGTAAAACTAATGAGATAACAGAAAAGGCATTGAGAGATAATGGGATAGAAAAGTATCTGTAAGAAGCAACGAAATTGATAGAAGGGGGAAAATAAACCAAGCAGTAGGGGAGAACGTAAATATTGACTTATATCAGGACCCAACAAAAGATGAAATAGCAACAATTTTCTTAACTGTAACTTATAAGTATTATGAAGTGAAATATAATGCGAAATTGCATACCAAGTTTATTAAATTTCAATTCATTTGTTCGTTTCTTTTTCTTAAACTCAGTGGAGTTTATGATTCTAAAATTAGGCCCAAGCAATAGAACAACTGCATTACAATAATACTACCAAACCCAACCCATTCTCTAAGCAGTTTCAATGATTCTTGAATCACCGTAAACAGGAATTGTATATATATGGTCTAAGCATTAGATTAAAATCTATGAAGTCATGATCATGATAAGACCTCACTCTGCATAGCTAAGTTTAGTAATCGATCATTAATTCATGATGGGGCAGCAATTTCTAATGCAAATATAATCGTTGCTATAGTTGGCTTCGTAGCTTTTTCTGTAAATCGTGGATCTTGTCTATTGTATCGTTTTTTCATTAGCAAAAATCAAAAAATTGCCAAAATTGAAGAGTTATACAGGTGATGTGATAGAAATGAATTTACATATGAATGGAAAAAAATAAACAATTAAGGTAGACTAATTAGGTTTATGCCTTTAATAATAGCATGCTCATGTTATCCATGTTGCTTTTCAAGTGGATCTTTTCCAGCATCCCATTTCAAAAAAATTGATATGTTATTCATGTAAACGCATAGCCACAAACGCTATCTGAATTCATGATAAAGAATTTTCACAAAATCGACTCAGGTATGATGTAGTATTTTTAGATACAGTCAATGATTTCTTGAGAATTTTAAAACTCAACCCAATGCGTCCAAGGGAATGGATTCAATCTGCTAATCCTACAATAACTAACCACCTATTTTGCAACCTAATTACCAAAACTCATCCTTTCAATTTCCGTACATTGCCCTTATAAATATAAATTTCCTACAGAAGAAGGATAATGTGACTCTCTCATTGTGGCTCGGAATTAATGATTCATGAAGGTGATATGATGGACGTGAATTATTTACCAAAAATGGCCAGCAACTTCATGGATCAATGGAAAAGAAATAGAGAGGTTCATGTTGGGCCAGGAAATTTTATTGCAAATTTAAGTGCTGTTGGAGCAGGTGGAGAAAGCATTTACAGCATTTGAAATTTGAGGCTTTATTTGTTAAATAGATAGGGCGTATCTGCTTCCTAACTCTTTTTGTAAATTAAGCATCGTCACTTCCATAGGCAGAAAACATGAGATTAAATGTGAAAGGGATAATATTACATACATTATGAAAAGATGATTTATTGCCTCTTTCCCTCTCTATTTTTTATTTAGATTATCTTCATAAAAATAAGAATTGGATATATAGTTTGGATTGTTCAATAATTAATACCATGATTTTATTTTCTTGGGAAAAATATTTTTGGGAAAGAAATTATTGTGTATTTTGAGATGAGCACTACTAAGTCCATCATATATTTTGTTATTTCTACTAATTTTTTGTTGTACATTATTAACAAACTCTTATATTTAATTATTATCTGATCGCTAATTTGATGTAATGGTGGTGTAGTAGTAATTTATAATAAATATTTTGGTATGAATAATAAAATATATAGTAAATTTAACATTATCGTTCCGAGATCTGAAATCTTCTTGATATGAAGTGTATGAGAAAAGTACAATGTTTTGATACATTTAATAATTCTCTGTTTTTTATCGTATAATTAATGCTAATATTTTTCGATTCGTAAATTTTCATTACAAAAAAATAAAAATTTGAGAATCATTAATAGAAGTCCAATTCTTAAATATAAAGACATCAATAGACAATATTATATGCAAATACAATATAAATCCCATTACAATCATGAATCACGAATTGAGAAACTTCATGTTTGTTAAACATATAATTGTATTAGTGATCATAATATTTTTTATTATTCCAATTTTAACTTTGTCAATCGATTGCATAATGTAAACATATAATTAATTGTGATTGATCACATATATGGATAAATAGAATTTTTAGGGAAAACCTAAACGTTATCCGAACTATATATATATACACATTAAGAGGGACATTAATTAATATGGTACATCAGTTTTTTTATCTTAATTTTTTCTAAACTACCCACATGTCTGACCAGATCTGACATTCATTTTTTTTAAAAAAAAATAGGGAGATCGTGAAGTCCTTTTAGAATCGAAAAGAAATTCTAAATTTCCATGTAACAAAGAGTTTTCTTTTGGAATTTTTTTGATGTAAAAAATATTTACATGTGTAAAAGGAAAGTATAAAGAATATTGTGTTTTTTATAACAATGGGACAACAGAATGAGGGTCCTGCTTCGGATGTGCATAATAAAAAAGTAGTGTCATCCTAATGCAAGCAAGGCATGGGCAAATCGCAGCGAAGTTTTCAACGACAGAGTCCTAGTTGAATAACATATTTGAAAAGTGCATATAATACATCAACATCAACCAAAGAAGACAAACAAACGAATTTAATAACTCTCACGAAAACAAAGCAGGGAATAAAATGCGAAAACACTTTAACTAAAGGATGAACTGAAGACAAAGATGAAAAAAACAACACCATGCAAAGAAAAACAAACCTGGAACACAATGTCGATGTGATGTTTATCAGAGCGCCTATATCAAAGTAAGGTAAATCCAGAAATGAAAATTCGTAGAGTCTGCAAGAAGCAAGTGAAATCAATGAGGTCACATAAAAGGCGAAATGCAAATATTGACTTGTATTGAAATCGAAGAAAATATCAAATAGTATCAATTTGCTTTGTTGTAACTGGCATTATATATATATATATATATGTAAGTATCTGGAAAAAATGCCAGCCAGAAGAAAACATGCAGTTTGTAAAAGACGACAAATCTGATGTGAAATTGAATACCAAGGTTATCAATTTTCAGTTTGTTCGATGAACAATTACATTTTTCAGAAAACACATGGATCAATTTTTCTAAGACATACTTATTAGTTAATCAATGATTTTAAACCGAAATCCAAAATTATAATAATGTCAATAAACTAAAAACATCAGTAATTTATCAACTCGCGCATTCAACGTTGTCTCCTAAATATTTAATAATCATCAAATCCAAGACATACAATATAATTAACTCAATATTCAATCTTATTCTTTTGCAGCAACAGTGCTGCTTATTAAGAATTTGGATCAAACATATATTCATGACTTGAAAAATATATAAATACTCCTACATCACAATAACATTGACTAACATAGATAACCAACTCAGTGGCCAGCGATATGACAGAAGGTCATTTTTCTTTGCTTATATTAATGTAGTTCATTGATGGATCTCAAAAGGCAAATAAATAAATTGTGCATCCAAAACTTATTTTTGTGGAAGAAAAAATAAGTCAAAATGAATAGAACAATTCTATTACCATAATACTACGAAACCCAAGTTTTTTGTATGATTAAACAGTCATGCATACCCTTCCAAGCTGAAGGTCATTGTCCAAGCGGTTCCAATGATTCCTAAAGCCTATCAAGTCATCATCATGGTAATATTTCACTTTGTGTAGCTAAGTTTGCCATGAGATTGACAAACAACAAAGCCATTAAAATCTTTATCAACAGCAAGCGCCCATATATGGTCAAACCATCAAATTAAAATGAGAACTCAATCTAGCTCCAGAGGGAATGAAAGTGCTGAATTTCAAGAGAAACAAATTACTCCTATAATCATAATTAGCAAAACTCATTGTTTTTTACCATCTGTGGGAATTTTTGGTTATGCAAATCTCATTATGTATTAAATCATTGCAAATTACTCCTATCATGCATGATTCCCTAAAGAAGACACTTGTATTGGAATGTTTCTAATTTGTGCGTGGTTTCTTGCACACTACAAAGGATGATGATTTGTGGGACCATCGTCGTGGGAATCATGCTTCTTTGAATCGTTCAAACGACGTTTCACAGAGGCAGTGGAGAAAGTTTGTTCTTGACCACATGTATCAATCATTAAGCAATGATAAAGAAGGAATGCAGGGGTTCTTCAGGGATGTGCTTATGATGGCAGTTAAGATTTATGCAGCTATTAAATTGGATGTGCTACATAAATGCTGGTTTCATTTGTCATCCATGTTTCTTAAGCTTTTACTCCCGCATCCCCCAAATTTTGTTGTTCTGCAGAAATCTGGTAATTACAATGCAGATAGGCATAAGTCAACCTTGATGGGGCGGATGGGTAAATGGAACTCATAGTACAGCTAAAGGGGATGTAGGCATTTTGTGAAATGGAGTATGCAATTTAGTTCCTATCGTATTATTTAATACAACAGTTGATATTATGAGAAAAAGAAAAATAAAACATTTAAAAAATGATGACCAAAAAACTTCAAGAAAGACTAAAGTGAGTTTGACATATTATATTTTAAATGGTATAAAAAAATAAAATATTTTTTATACCATTGAAAAATGAAGGAAATAAAACATTTTTTTACCATTTAAAAGAAAAGGAAATAAAAATTCTCATAATGTTCCCTATAACATCATACATTTTTTATACCATTTTAAAAAAAATGAAGGAAAGAAAACATTTAAGGAAAAAAAATATTTACATCATTAAAAAAAATTCTCATAATGTTTCCTATGATATCATAATTTTCTTTATTTTTAAAAAATCATTTTCTTATAATAAAGATTTTTTTTCTCATAATAGATATTTGACACTTAATGACTTAATTTAAAAAATATCAGTTAAGTACCAAATTGTATGTGACTAAAAAATATAGTGATAAAAAAAAAAAAAAGTTTGATATTATCAATATAACTTTGTTGTGGAAGCACAAGTCCATATGAATTGCTGAATGTGTATGTTAACGTGGAAGCAGCTAATCTGCCCTTGGAATGCAATAAATGTAAGACAGTAATAGAAGAAGCTCATTGCCAAACTAACAAAAGAATTTCATTACAATAATATATAGCACAACGCCTAAGTTCTCAAGCATCAGATAAGTATCACAGTTAAGTCGACATTGGGTACTGTCAGTTTTTGCAAGATACGACGTGGAACAAAAGCGATGCAAAAATCTATTATGAGAAAACCCATGGTGGCCTCGTTCCATGATTGGCATAGGAGAAACCCATGGCAGAAAACCCAGACATAAAAGACACTGGAAAGCAATAGCAGAACACCATCAGACCCCATGACATGAAGAGATGGAAAAAGGAGCAAAAAAACCGAAGAAAAAAGAGAAGGGAACTGGAAACGCACCTCTCTAAGAAGTGAATAATTGACAGAGCCAAAATCCACTGCAAAAGAAACATAAGGCACGCCCAAAAAAATGTGACAACGAAACGCAAGCAACTCAACGGACCTGAGAAGAGAAAAATAAACCCAGAAACGAAAGAACAAAAGAGGAGAGGGAGAAACCTGGAAGCAACGAAGGCGAAGAAGATAACAGAGAGTCAAAAGACCGAAGAAAAAAATAGCAACAAATGGAGAGGGAAAAAAGCCTGAGCAGACATAGTAGAAGGGGAGGCAAAAAATCGAGAAGAGTTTGACAAAAGTGGATGCAAATGATGGTGGTTGTGGGGCCAAAGAGGAAAAATCACCACCTTTAGCCGATGTGGAAAGTCAAAACGAAGGAAACCATTCGACTGACACGGAACCAGAAACAGAAAAGCAAGTGAAGACAGAGCAGAAATAACAGAACAGAGCAATCCATCCCGCTGCAACCAAACCAGAAATAAGAAAACAGAAAGGAAAAGAAACCAAGACATGAAACAAACGAAAAAACGGCAAAAAGGATCAGGAAATTGGGCCACCCATGCTGAGAAAGGGTGGGACGACCAAGAAAAACAATGACGAGGGAGAAATCAGAGACAGAGGCTACGGATGACACGAACAAGAAGCATTAAATGGCAGCCGTCAAGTGAGAAAAGAGGACAAAAGAAAGAATGAGAAGAGAAAGGAGCGGCTGGGAATGAAACGAAGAGAAACAAACGAAGAAGAACGAACGGCCGAGACAGAAGGGATGCCAAGCACAGTAGATCCACAGTCCAACTGAGTCTACATGAACAGTAAATCAACAGTAACAATCCTTATTCTTTTATTTTTTATTTTTTTTGGCTAATTGTTAAAGTTAATATCAGATTTGATATGAACAGAAATGAATGGAAAATTTTGTTTTGATGTATTTTGTCAGACATGTTATCCAATTTAGGCCTGTGTACGATGCATGTTTCGCTTGGAAAGCTCTCTCTCCCTTTTGTGTGTGATCAGTTCAAGCGGTGGCTGTTCTGAAGAAAGATTGAAGCTGTCCTGCTTGCCAGTTAGGTCTACTATCATTTAGAGAAAAGATAATATATGTTGTCCCACCTGGTACAATATCTTACGTGCCAACTGGAGATTCCAGTCTAGGAAAATTACAGAGTTCAGGAATATCAGCTACTAAAGTGTGACATCTTTAGCAATTCACTTAAGCTGCTATAACAACACTAGCAGTTCACTTATTTTTAATGAACTCAACAACAGAAAAAGCACAGGCAGAACAGGCAACTCGAAAATGAGAAAACCCTGCTGCTTTAGCCAAACGTTCAAATTCTTTTTCGGTCCTTTCATTTCTCTTCGGATTCATGCTCGTCACGAAGAAATAATTCTGCAGCAAGCTTTTATCTGCAACAGTGGTATCAGGGCTTTCAGGAATTACCATCTCGACTGCCATCACCTTTCCGTTGTCTGGTAAAGCTTCATAGCAGTTCTTTAGTACTTTCAAGAAGTTCTCATCATCCCAGAAATGGCTTACCCACTGCTCAAACATTATTTGTTACTGTCAGTATAATCTGAACCTTATTTTTAACAGAATGTTACAGCTTGTATCAAACATCACCTTCATGAAAATGGCTTCTGCTTTTGGAATGCTTATAAACGCATCTCCTGCAACATGCTCAATGCCTGCAATAAAAATTTATCAGAAGAGTAAACAATTTCTAACACAGCTCACAAATGTTGGTATATTTTATAGTTAGTTCATCTGTTCTTTTTACTTCAAATTTGTGAAAAAAGGATTCCCTTAATCCTGTGGAGTTGACTAATCAAGTGGCAAACAGGTGTTAGACCTTCAAAATGAACAGAAACAATTTTATGCACTTTTGCTACTAGCCCAAAAGGTCAACATTCTCAGTCAAGAACAAGGCAAATAAGATCATTAATAAGATCAAAAGAAAAGCAAAATCAATACCTGGATAGGATGGTGAGTTTTCTATAACTGAAGCCAAATCATAGTTGATGCCCTTAATGGCAGGATACTTGGAGATGATCATGTTAAGGACAGAACCATTTCCTCCACCCACATCCACCAAGGATGTGAGACCTTCAAAGCCATCATATATCTCCAAAATCGTCTTCATAAATAAAGGGTTGAAACCTCCAGAAAAGCCCCTGAATAGTTCACCAAATCTTGGATCCTTTTTGGCATACTCCATAGAACTCGACCCATAAGCTCTCTGAAATAGAGCCCCTCCTTGTAGAACAACATCTTTCAAGTGGCTCCTGTTGGTTTTTTTCAATACAACATATTACAAAATATTATAAACAACATTCTTTTATGTTTCTCTTCATAAAAAGAAACAGAAACAGAAACAGAAACAGAAACAGATATTATAGTTTTGGAAAGAATCTAATTTACCAGACATCCATGATGACTTTATCATGAATAACAAGAAAATAGGGACTTAACGATCCTCCATCTTCCTTCTTGATAAAGTATTTGGCTACAGGTGCCAATCCATATACCCTTTGAACCTGATCACTATCTTGATTCTTGGTGGCTACAGAACAAGTGAGAATAGCATGGCTAGCAAGAAGGCATAGGATCCGGTCTAATACAATAGGGGCATCAGGGTTGTTTTGAGTGGGGAGTTGAGAGGCAATTTGTGAAGCTGAGAGACAGGCATCAGGGCCAGCTTTTTCTATGATCTCAAGAACTCCTAGCTCAACTGCTGCTTTGAAAACCATAGGCAGAGTTGATGCAGATGCAAGTTGCATGGCATACTGGAGATGATAGTCTTCTTCATCGCTTGAGGTTGCCATTTGGTTTTTCTTGGAAATTGACTTGGTTCTGGATCTGAGTAGGAAACTATCAAGACTTTTCTATGTGATGACGCAAACCATCACGTCTCTTCACTTGTTTTTTAATACAAAGTGAAGAACTTTAGAATATTAGACTGGAGACTTTTCTGCAAAGCAAAGTCCCATACTATTCTATTTGGATTATTCTCATTTGGGGTGGTATAATCTTTGTAAGTCTTCTTCATCGCTTGAGGTTGCCATTTGGTTTTCCTTGGAAGTTTTGTTCTGATTTAATTAGTTTAAGAAAATAAAACAGTACTGCAGACAATTTGCTATCTGTCCTAGCTTACAAACGAAGACACTGTACCCTTCTGACTAGTTTTCTGTTGTACCAAAGTCCAAAATCAGGTTGTCCGTTTAGAAAATTTCCCCTGGGGTTGCTTGACCTTTCAAAGATGTTCCAGCTTGCAAATGCATCTGCAGCATCAAAGAGACCATTTTGTCTTCTCCTGTCGTCACTCTAACAGTCTACGAGGAAATATTTGTACGCTGCAGAGATACGATATAGGCAGAATAGTCAGAAAGGTTGGGCTAGTATCAAATTCCTCTTAATGGATCAGATCAATGTGAAAAAAGAAAAAAGAAGAAAAAAGATACGTTCTTAAAATCTTTCTGATAAAAATAAAACTGAAAATACTTTTGCTGTAAAACTTTAAAAAAAAGAAAAAAAGAATAGTCAGAAAGCACTATTATGAGTTTCCAATTCCATGAGCCAGAACTGTAACAATCATATACGTTTGTTTTTGACCGCTATGTTGGATTTATTTTTTTAATAATGTTCGCTGTAAGTTAGTGATCACCATCGTAGATTTTAGAAATCAATTCTTATATTGGTGTCAATTACAACATCTTTTTTGCTTTCTTATGATTACGACTAGTAGATCCCACGACTTTTCCACATTCATGACTGCATGAAAGATACCGTGTGGGGCTTTGCAACGAAATTTTGTGGGGGAAAAAAAAGCTAATTAGTTCTATTCTACTTTGTAACATCGGTCAAATATTTTAATTTTTTTTAATTTAAGTATTAAAATTATATTTTAATTTGTAATCGAGGTGAACGAAACCTATTGACTAATATCTTAATACACTTTTCGTACGTGATGGTCACATAATTCAACACTATCCACTGTCCAATGATACTGAAGCTCTCTCTCTAAAAAAAAAAAACCAACTTTGTCATTTGTTTTTCCTCTTATTTATTTGGACAGAGATTTTAGATTTATTACAAAAAAAAAAAAAAAAAAAAAATGATGTTGATTGAAATTATACAAGATATTGGCCAAAGATTTTAGATTTGTCAGGTAAGAAAAAATGGTCTTGATGGAACTTAGGAAGGAGATTGGGCAAAAATTTTGGATTTTTTAGGAAAGGAAAAAAATGATTATTGAAATTAGGCAGGAGATTAGGAAAAGGTTTTAGGTTTGACAATTGAATTTAGGTTTGGGTTTTTAAATCATTTTACTATCATGTACCTGCCATGTACTTGGATATTGGTCAATAACGGGGATCGTTTGACTCGATTACAAACTAAAAATTTGGATATTTAAGTTAAAAAATTAAAATTTGAATATCAGTTTTTATTTAATCAATAATACAGGATATTATGGAAAAAAAAAAACTTGATTGAAATAGAGAGATTAGTAGAAGGCCAGATTGACAAATCCAACACGTGGACCAAAAAGGTATTAATTTTTTGAAATAACCTCAAATCGTCTCATTGAAAAAAAAATAATAATGACTAAGACCCAAGTACATGGCAGGCAGGCTAACCCCATGGAGTTATAATTCTAAAATTCATGTCTTTGTCTCTCTTGAACAAATTGTTATGTTTCTCTGTGAAAGATAATAAGAGATACAAAACTTTTCTCAATTTTACAAAATATAGAAGAAAATATTCTCTATATTTAACTAGCTACTGATGGGATCTTTATGAGATGCTTAAGATGATTTTGAACCGAGATAGGAAGGTCAATTTATAGGCCTTCCATAGGCATGGGACGTCTTTCTTTTAGAATTTAAAGCGAAAGCAATTAAAATCATCTATATTGAAAAGGATAAGGACTTTGCCATCATCCATCACAAAGCTAAACATCACATGATCACTTGCGACAAGATTCATCCCTTTTTAAGTTACGTGTTGCTTGAGATTTATTCAAAGAAAAAGGATTGTGTAGATAGGGACAACAATTGCATTTCTTTACAACAAGTTGCATGCATCTACTAGTGGATGCTAGATAAGAGGATAAGGTGATCCCATGAACACTTGCTACAAGATTCATCACTGTTTAAGTTACATATTGCTTGAGATTTATTCAAAGATATAGGTTGTCTGGACATGGACAACAACTGCATTTATTTATTACAAGTAGCATGCATTCACTCTCACACACAAAACAAAAGAGAGAAAGAACAAAGTAGCATGCATCCAAGCATTACAGAGGATATAACTAAGCAGCAGAAACTTTGAATGAGTCCAAGCGGGCAGCATCTGCTTGTCTTCGTTCCCACATTACATTGTAGAATTCTTCATAGGTGAAATCCTTATAAATTGCTGGATGATCATTGTCGATCAATTCCTTAGGAGGTCCCATTTGAGTATCATTCGATGGATAGCAATATGAAGCAATGGAAAAACGTTCTTTTTCAGAATTGACAAGAACTTTATGCAGCAAACTCTTGTATTGAAGATTGCTAAGCCCCTGATAAGAAAAATTAACATTAAAAAAAGAAAAAGAAGAATCAGATTGTAACAACTAAAAATAAAACAAGATTTTAGGATATGGTTTTGATTCTTCGTGCACCAAAACAGTGGTTTGATTGCTGACCACAAAATCTTTTTAAATTTAAATAGAGTAAAGTGTATTGCAACCACAACTTTGCATCTTAAATACACGTCGATGCAAAAGATACAATTTTTCTATCATTTAAATGGACTAAATTGATGATCAATACTGTTGCTTTTCGGCTTGAAGAAAATACAAAGAACAAGTAGACAAGAGGAGAGTGAATGACCTGCAGTATGTCACCAACATGGACTACCAAGGCGTTAGGCATATGCTTCACAGGTACATACTCACCATTTTGTAGAATTTCAAGTCCAGGCACCTCATCTGGCAGTAGCATTGTGAGTATAGTAGGGTCAGTATGACCACGCAGTCCAAAAGTGCGTTCTAGATTTGACTCGTCACAAACTGGATAGTAGTTCAAAGACGTGTATTGTCCATGTTTGCTTAATATTTGATCTATAGATTCCCTTTTCATGCCTAAGCCCTCAAATATGGCCTCAATTAGTGTTATTTCTGCCCTTTCAACGGCTACACAATACTCAGCTACAATCTCCCTGTAAGCAATCACGTGCAAATACTGTTAAAAAATCAGATCAACTCAAAATTAAAAATATAATTTATATTATTTTTTAATATATATTTTTAAATGCTTAAGTTTTTTAATTACTTAGAGAAAAATAGAATAATAGAATTCAAATTCTTAACTATTTGATTAATAAAACTTTGATACCATGTTGGATATAAATCATAATTCCAAATATTAATTGTTGAATAAGATATCAGGACATAATTTATATTATTTATAACTTAATAATAATATCTTTATTTAAGAAGGAAAAAAACCACTGAATTAGTCTCTTTATTTCGAAAAACTTTAATCCTTTTATTAGATATTACCTGAAGTATGAAGGATTTGTAGGCCAGAGATTCACATAATTTTCAAGAGGATGACTAAAAAATTTCAAGGATTCCCTGGAGACGAAAACATTCTGATTATCGTCCTTAAAGCCGATAGTAAGTCTGATGAGACTGGTTAGGTCAGGAGAGTATAATTTCATCCTTTCTTCCTCTGGTAGATGGAAGAACTCTCTTGTTATGCCCATTATGTCATTCAACAGCGTCTCTGAAATTCCATGGTCCTTCACCTGATATTAATATGATATATTAACTATTAGAACGCAATATTATTTACACATAACAAGATACAGTGAATAGTAAAGATTTTATATAAATAAAACTTTATTCGTTTTGTTAATGCCTTTGATTTAACAAAAGATATTGAAGTTAAAATGCATTTTATCGATAAGAATTTCCATAATAGTTTTGATGGTTTGCGCATAATAATAATAAAAAAAATCAATTGGGTGTCAGGAAACTATATCATAACTGGATTTTATGAACATTAGGTTATTTTATTTTATTGACAAGTTTATATACGTACGGTACTAGTTAAAAGCCAGTGCGAAAGAGACGAAGAGTTAGACTAAATACACGTCATGCATGACAGATGATTAGTCTAACATAAACCATAAAAATAAAGGGCTAACTTTGACCAAAAAAAAATATAATAATTAATGAGTAATCAATAACATATACAATAATTATTTTATAAATTCAATTTAAAGAGAAAGATGGACACATAAAAAAAATTAAATTAAATAGACGTAAGAATCTTTTTATCATTTTTTATAAATTTAGATGTAATTTTTATTTATTTATCTATCTCTTTCTTCAAAATAAATACATAAAATAATTACTGTATATACCGCTAATTATTTTTATAATATTATAAAATTTCTTTAATTTGACTAAATGTAAACAAATTCAATTCATAACTTTGACCTACGTACAGGCTCATTGATCACGTGGTTAATTAATAAAACCCTGAGAATATCCGGTCCATTTGATAATAATTAACTAATTATGCATGTAATTATGATGTATTGATAAATATATATATGCAGAGATGGATGATTACCATAAAGAAACCATAGTGTTGGCAAGCATGGCCAAGCTGTTTGATGGTATCAGAGCGACTAGGACCATGAAGGGCTCCTAGGTCGACGACGGGAAAGGAACCTTCCCAAAGTTCAAGCCCATAGAGATCAGTCTGAACCTTGGAATTGGTGTGGGCTGGTGGAATAGTTTTGGTCCCTGCAGGCAATTCGAGGTGATCATCAGCTACTAGTATCTCAGAAGTAGACATGGTGATCACTGAAATGAAAAATACAGGGAAGGTCTTTATATAAGTGGCTTGTGAATGTGAAGATTGGAGTTTCTATGCGTACCCCTATTTATACGAGGGAGCAGGCATCAAGGGGGTTGCTTGTGCTCAAGCTCTAAGCCACTGAGAGCAATGGTGACTACTACTGTTTGGTTCTCTCTCTTTTGACAAGTTTTGGCCGTTCGTTGTTAAATAACACTTGTCCCCAGATTGGTGGTGGCAGTCAAAGGAATTGTTATTTTATTGAATTCTGACTTTTTGACTTGACTCTTACACCGGGCGAGATGGCAACGAAAGCTTTTCCACTACCTCCTAGTTTTTTTTTTTTTTTTTTTTTTTGTGCCGCCTTTATGTTGCCAATTAAGCAAAACAGGTAAAATTTATTTAGTCTGATGTTTGTTTTATATTATAAATTTATAAAAATATATAAAATTAAAAATAATTTTTTATATAAAATTAGATATTTTTAATCAAAATTTTGTATTTAATGAATTTTTTCTTATATTTGTTTATAATTTTTTATTAAAAATGATTAATTCTTCTTTATCTTTGGATTCTTAATTAAAAAAAATTAAAAAAAAAGACTTAATATTTAATAAGATTGTGTCCAAAAAGCTATATAAAAACTTGCTTACTTAAAAATAAATAAATATTTTTGAAATTTCAATCAACAATGTAATATTTTAAGTTGATATATATATATATATATATATCAGTAAGGAATTCAATTCCTACGATTTTTATTTAATTTTTTAATTAAATTAAAAAATTTCAAGATCAGATAATTGTACTCTATATAGTTTTTAAGCTCAAACGGAATTTACTTGAGGTGACAGAGAGTGCTAGAGTTAATAAAAATTCATTTTTGAGTTCTCAATAAATTCAGCTTTTGATCTGATATGGCTCTTTGATAGTTTACATATAGCTACATTTTTGTGAAAAATTAATTCTAAACTATTATACGTTCTTTCATTAGAAACAGATCTTCATGATGGTTATTTGACATTCTACATACATATAAGGAAGAAAGTCTTCTTTCAGCCATCGATCCCATCTATTGTCAAGATCATTTACAAAGGTTGTGGGTGGCCAATTTGACCTACTCTAATGCTTGAGATATCAGGAGGAAGTGCCAAAGTTACTTAAAACCAATCGATCGACAAGCCAAAGATAATTGACCAACTAATCTAGATTTTTTTCCCCTTCAGAAATTTAAAAGAATCAGTTTTTAATGGTGCATGGTATATATTCTCCCCTTTCACTCTTTTTCTTACAATATCTTTTTCTATCGTCTCTTTGATGGGGTCATTACAGAATTAGAGGGTGAAAGCTTGACTTCAACTATCATCTCTTCGTCATTAGTTCAGCTTTGATTAAGTTTGATGTGCACTTCAAGAAAAGTTGATAAACCAATAACACACTAATTGCTGTAAAGACATGAAAAGAATATCGAGGATTTTTTTTTTTACTTTCTCATCAAATCAGATCTCTTTCAATATTTCAGGAATATTGAAACTGTGTTGTTGCATAAAGTTTAGATACGAGCTCTAATTGCTTAGTAACTTCTTCTTCTTCTTTATTCTCTCTCTCTTTAATCTATATTTAACAGTGTAGATTTTAATGACACCGTAACATAATTCTATACTCAACTAAAATTTTAAGAGAATGGAGTTGATGGTGACATTTTTAATATGGATAGAATATACATAGTTCATTGACTCGATTTTTATTTTAAAGATGTTAATTAAAATGGTGTTTATAAATCACATTACTTTTTAATTTTAGTTATTTAATTTTTTGGACATTGTTTAAATTTATAATTATAAATTTGAGATTTAATCCACCTCATTCATATGTAATAATATGATATTTTTGAATTGAACATAGGAAATATAATTTTCATTATTACGGAAATGCCATAGATACATTACTAGTTACGTTATATATAATATAATTTCATAACTTATTTATGTATAATAGATCATTAAAGATTAAACCAATGAGTCAAAAATATATGACAAATTTTATTTTATTATAAAATTTGTCATATATTTTTGACTCATTGGTTGATATTTCTGCTCAAGCAAAAGGCAACAAACACCGGATGTAAATAATAGGTTAAAATATAAAATAACACTCGAGACTTGGATATGGAATAGTCATTTATGGGGGGTGACAAAAGAACTCGATCGTTGATTATTCAATCCTCTTAAGTTTAAGAACGAATTCGGATTCATTAGTAACTTTTTGAGATTACAAAAATGGAACATGTCTTGATAGATGGTGGCGTTGATTGCTTGGCCTTTTCAAATTTAAAGATGAATTCGGATTCATTAGTAACTTTTAGGAATTTCCAAAAGAGGATCTGCTTCAACAAGTGACAATGCTGATCGTTAATTAGATTCGAATCCGATGACATCTAACAAGTCTTTCCCTTCGGATTATAGTGTCGTTTTGTTTTAAAGAATAACAATAAGTAACTTGACGGCCTTGGTACCAGCAAAAGTCAGCCCTTAGAGTCACTTCCCATTCGAGCCATCATATTATCTTAACTTTAATTGATGAGGTCTGGAAGTTTCCATCACAAACGAGTTGTCATAATTTAAAGAAAGATGTCAAAGCTTTTATTATTCAAAATAGGGAGTATGAGGGCTCCCATTAGTTCATAATACATCTTTCTTTTACATAACAAAAGGAAGAAGACTCATACAATGGGAAATGAAATAAAACAAGAAAAGCATTCACTCGACGGTTTGCTCGGACTGCAAAGACCTTCCCTCTTCTAGCCATTTCAAACGAGCAAATAGTCACATCTCCTCATGTAGTCGGCCATCGTTTCATTATGATTTGTCACCCTATGCTCATTGATGGCCGAGTGTAGCTCTCGAAGTGCTATAGCTTCTTTGAAGACTTCCTTTGCTTGATTGTCTAGCACGGCTAAGCTTTTGCCTCGTTCGGTATCGACTCGAGCTAAGTGATTATGTATGGTGGCCCAATACGAAGACAACCTAATTAACTCCCCCTCTAGATGTCAATTCTTCTTTTTGAGTGTTGTGATATGACTTTGTCTCTTTCTTACTTGTTTCATTGGAACTCGTCGATGGTCGTATTCGGTGTCTAGCGCCGATTGCTACTTCTCATTACCTTCTCTAACCCTAAATCTCTTAACTCCTCGCTCTACTCGCTTATCTTGTGATTACAACCTATCCATCTTAGCACATTTGGCTTCTAGTTCTACTTAAGCTCGATGATAGTTCGATTTTCAATATTCCTCTTCGACGACTATACTTTGCCAAGCCTTCGGATCTTGCTCCGGATCTAGTATCTTTTGTTTATCTTTTCCTCTCATCCTTTTTTCCTTACCCAAATCACATGCTAGTTTCGATTCTCAACCTTGAGCCTCTCGATCTCTTTGGTGAGGTCCCGATGGTCGGTAGGGACTAATTCTATGAAGTCCTTCATTCTTTTTTCTTCCTTTTAGATCGGCTAGGCACAACACTTGGATCTTGTGTCTGTTACTAGCTCACTCTCTTCGATAGGTTGGTTTGACATCCGTTTCCCACGGCTTGGTCGAGTCGGCTAATTGTTTATAGTCTTTCACCATGTTTGCTTGCCATGTGAGGTATCTCTTAGTCACTCGCTAATTCATGATCAACCATTCATCCTCCCATAACTCCCGCAGCTAACCAATCCTATAGAATATGTTCGAGAAACTCGAGAGTAGCATTCTTCTCAAGTTTTTCTTTAAACCCATTTAGGCTCACGGTTCTAGGGACAACCTATTCATAGCCCAATTACCTCGATACCATAGAGGGAGCATAACAAGTATATCCAGTTGCTCCTATTAGAGGAACTAAAGGTCGTGTTCCATAGTAAGCTATGTATGCCTTTCGATTCATCCAAACTGTCTTCCACATAAAGCCCCCGATCGATAAGCTCAAAAATAATGAAAACCACTCTCGTTCAAACTTGTTTTTTCATTTACCGACCAAGAACTCTTTCAATGATTCTTGATCGATCCACTAACATGTCTTGAAAATCGATTTATGGGCTTTGAAATGGCTAATTACCCATACAAAAGAAGCTGAACATAACATTTCATACTTCTTTTCTCGGACCTCCTGCGGTGACTCAATAAGGAGAAGGTTTCGGCTAAAATGGCAGCGGTAGGATTTATGAAGTGTTTCTCCATCTCGATGAAGACATTGGTTGGATCTAGACCGATTAAACCGATCGTTGAGGGAAAAAGCACTAACTCAAAGATCATAAGTGCTAGAATCTTGAGCCGTTTGGAGGTAGCTCTTGTATCTTTTAGTTTTTGCTTGAACACATCCAACCAGCTCTCAAAGTGCCATCCTTTGACATTCCCTCTAGTTTTACCATGACTCATGCTTATGTCTAGCCAAACCTTCACCCTATGGTGAAACATCCATATGAAGGGTCCCATAGATGGGCCAAGGCCTTGAGAGCGGGTTTTGAACCGGCACATCTAGCAACATTGCGAGATTCTCATATTTAGCTCAAAACCCGTACTTGGTCATCAAGGCTCGAGCATCTTCTAATAATCATTTAGCTTTTGGGTGTCATTGATCACCGATTGGAAGTGTGTGATCTCCTTATGATTGTTTTGAAATTTCAATCCTAAGTAATCTCTCTCTGTTTGTTGCAAAGCCTCGGAATTTTTATTGAATTCGACCACCAAGTGAATTTGGATCTAAGTTCTCTTGTCACCCATCTTGAAACATTGCGACCGAGTTGCTTAGTCAAGGTTTCGACATATCCGGCTTACCTAGTGAATTTATACGGGAAAAGTGATCCTAAGGTTTGGTTCTAGCCATGACATGATTGGGTAGGATCTATCTAAGTCTCAAAGGATCCTTTTTGGCCTCGGAAAATCGAGGCCGACCAAGTGCGAAGCTAGTAATCATGAAGATCATCGAATACCTATCACGACGAGTGGCGGCTTTCTAAAAGAGTTGAGG